CGCCGGCAGCCCCCTTGTTCCCCCACCCGCTGCCGCCAGCACTCACCTTGTTTCCGCAACCGCTTCCACATCCGCTGCCGCCAGCAGTCACCTTGGTTCCGCAGCCGCTTCCACATCCGCTGCCGCCAGCACTCACCTTTGTTCCGCAGCCACTTCCACATCCGCTGCCGCCAGCACTCACCTTGTTTCCACAGCCACTTCCACATCCGCTGCCGCCAGCACTCACCTTGCTTCCACATCCGCTGCCACCATCACTCACCTTGGTTCCACAGCCGCTGCCGCCAGCAGTCACCTTGCTTCCGCAGCCACTTCCACATCCGCTGCCGCCATCACTCACCTTGTTTCCGCATCCACTTCCACACCCGCTGCCATCAGCACTCACCATGTTTTCACATCCGCTGCCGCCATCACTCACCTTGTTTCCACAACCACTACCACATCCGCTGCCGCCAGCACTCACCTTGTTTCCGCAGCCACTTCCACACCCGCTACCGTCAGCATTCACCTTGTTTCCACATCCGCTGCTGCCAGTAGTCACCTTGTTTCCACAACCACTTCCACATCCGCTGCCCTCAGTATTGACCTTGTTTCCACAACCAGCACTATTCACCTTGTTTCCACAACCACTTCCACATCCGCCGCCGCCACTATTCACCTTGTTTCCACAACCACTTCCACAGCCGGCACTATTCACCTTGTTTCCACATCCGCCGCCGCCACTATTCACCTTGCTTCCACAACCACTTCCACAGCCGCCACCATTCACCTTGTTTCCACAACCACTTCCACATCCGCTGCCGCCTACAGTCTTAGTCTCCTCCAAACTATTGGCATTACCAACAAAGCCAGCATATTGCTCCTTCACCACATCCGAGAATATCATAAATGATATGAGACTAGGAACTAGCATCCACTCTTCCTTCACCTATTTGTTTTTCCCAAAAGAAAAGAAATCATATTAGACCAAGTGATATCAACTTGTTAAAAAAAAAAAAAACGAGGAAAACGAATCTCTACCTTGACAAATCCAGATTTTAGGTTGAGCAAAGCGACTGCTTTTCCATAAGGATCTTCAGCAGAGAACTCAACTGCAGTAACGACATGTTGTTCATTTCTATGTTTCTCACAACCTTCAGGCTCATAGTCCAGCTTTCTACCAGGATAAAATTTGACCTGAACCAGTAATAAAGATTATGTGAACAGGGACATACTAAATTTGACCAACCATCCTAGTTCAAAGGAAAATGTTGCTATAATGTTAACAAAAAGTTTTAACTTAAACATAATGGGTGCTTTTACATCCTATATATAGACTGTGATTCACAGCCAAAAGCTGAAAAGAACAAGAAGAATAAGAATAGAGCAAAAGTGATGCAATTTGCTCAGGATCTTTCACGTATACAAGCATGGTTCAGTCGAGCGAAAAAAAGAGGTAGATGCGCTTTTGTTCGTTAAGAAAAAGAGAGGAAAAAAAAAAAGAAAAAGAAGAAGCACATTCAATAGATCTTGAGGATTTGGCCCTGCCACAATTACTTCAGCGGAGGTAACATCATACCTCTGTGACCAACATTACCACCATCCCTAAATTTACTTCACATACTGTTCTGAAAAGGCTTTTCAATATACAATGTGCCATAAAGCATGCATGTTCCTGTGTTGGTTTGTGCCAGTTTCTAGCAAATAAACATGAGTTTTTTTATTAAACCCTCAAGAAAATAAAAGATAAGGTTGATTAACAACTAACGGAAGTTAAAATTGATAGAGAAGCTATCATATAAATTTGTACGACTTGTGAGGGAAACGTTAAAAGCTTGGAGCAATGAGAAATGAGGAAAAGTGCTATATTGATGGTTGCCTACCATTTTGTGACCCACAAGCTCACAAATATGGTTTTCTCCACCAGAGTTCTTACTAGGGTGAAGAGACCAGTGAGAATTCATCAAAGACCAGCCAGTGCCTACAGTTTCTGTGAGAGTGCGGGTTTCACCAGACTTCATTGTTCCAATCACCTCCTTCTTAAGACCGTGGCTTTCCCTCGCTTTTGCCTTTTCAGAATTCCTTAAGCGTGACATAAGCCAGCATGAAACTAAGTCAGAAAGTTATGATGCACCATAAAACACAAAGAGTAAACATAACAGATGAAAGCATACATAATTGCCGATTTCTTGATCTAACAATCACAAGTCTCCAAGAGAGATTTAAAACTATAATCATAAATTGCTATTTTCAACTAGCAATACTGCCACAGGGTCTCCATCCATAAAACAATACTTTATTAATAAACTAGAGATTAAATACTGGCTAGATATACTTGAACAAACTCTGAAGCTATAGAAACTTAAGGGAATATGACGTAAGACCCAGATAGAAGAGGTAGAATCTAGGTAGAAAATTTAGAACCAAGAAGAGAAATAGAACTACTCGAGAAATAGAAATAGTTACACAGGAGAGAAAATAAAGGATTCAAGAGAAGAACAAGAACTCGAGAGGAGGAAAACTAATGATCTCAAAATAATATGATAAGTTTACATAAATCCTAAACAATCCTGAAAGATAAACATAATTCTAAATTAAAAACTAGATATTAAAGATGAAACATATGCTAAGAGATAAATATGCAATTCAAAATAACATTATGTGTATCTTGTTCGGCATCAGAATCTCTCAAGAAAAATTATGCAAGCATCATGATAGCATGAAATCTTAAGTATGCTCGTGTGATTTTACAGTTGAAGTCTTGAAGAGGAGTTTCTTATTTAAGGATATCCTATCCAAGCTTCTCAAATTGATAAGCTGTAAGCTCATGCACACATGTATACATGCAAGCACAAGAAATATGGACGATGGTGTATCTTTAAAGGTAACATCAACTTGTTTTCTGGTATGAAATATGGAAGGGTACATACCTCAGTCGGAGGTGGATGAGTTTAGCACCAGTTTCATCAATGACATCCATTCTATTCTTGGCACGAACCATGTGAAGCACACGTTGTCTTGGTACTGGAATAGTGCATGAGATAGCAACTCGCAGACGAATCGGCTTTAAGTTCACATTTTCAGAACTTGGCACCAAGTCTAACCATTTTTCCACAGATAGGTTAGGGACCGGGACCAGAAGGTCTTGAAGAGAGAGTGCAGTAGTACCCAATGTCTTCGATGCCCTTGTCAATGGTGAAGTTGAAGGTGAATGAGATACGAGTTCAAAGAGCAGCTCCCCAGTAGGTTCACACTCAAAAGAAGCAACTTGCTTCTCTTTGGACTCGGACAAAATAGTCAGTCTCCGAGGAGCATCAAAAAGTACATCAGGTTGTGTTTTACTAAATGAGACAAATAGATTTCCTTTGTGCTCCTCCGGTAAGTTTCTAACTTCAACAAACTCCAAAACCACCTGGAAAAAAAGAGGAACAACCAGAGGAATCTTAGGAGAATATGATAGCTTTTCTTTCCTGAAAAGAATGAGAAAGAAGCAGAAGCTCTGGTCACTGCTTTACGCGAAGCAAAACAAGGAAATCAAAACTCATGAATAGCGCTGATACTTGTGTACAAAAAACCAATGTTTCAATTTCAAAAACATGTTCGTAATTCTAAAAGAAATATTAACTGTCACTAGTTTTTTGTTTTTTTTTTTCCCTGAAGTCGAAATGTATTATTTAAAGCATTATAAATACAACACTCATACTGAATCCAATATCCACATATGTTAAGAAGCACATTCAATCAGAGTATCTTGAATGACTTGAACGAAGCTGACTTATGGGGTGAATGGCCATGAATAAAGACGGACCATTTAGCCATTTGTTAGTTTACCAACCCATCCCAAAAGCTTAATCTGTTAGGAGATGAGCCAATAATAGTTTTATACTTTAATACTCCTCCTCATGTGTGGACTGGACAATGGACAATCATGTGAGTAATTTAATTAGAAAGGCCAACACGTGAATATATTTAAGTCCGAGATATATTAAAGACCCAAAACATGATAATAATTTAAATGGAGATAAAGAGTACAATTATGGGGGTTTGAATTCAGAACTTCCTGCTCTGATACTATGTTAATTTACCAATCCATTCTAAAAGCTTAAGCTTTTAAGATAGATTGGTAAACTAACACCATTGGCTAAGCTCAAGTCTAAGTTCATACTTTTGACCATTCAGAGAAAAAAGAGAGAGTAGGTAATGAAGCCTACCTCCACAGATTTCGCCTCTGGAAGCTCAATCATTTTTTGATACTCATTTGATGCAGCAATCTCCTTTTTGATCATGTTTGATGAGAAAGGAGTGTTTGTAATAGGAGTTGGAGTACTGCCTCTATACATTGCTCCTGCCCTCCAATACCTTGTACCAAATGTCTCTTCCCACTGTTTGGTAGTGCCAGAAAACCCGTTATCCAGTTTCATTCCTTTGGTTCTGTTTGAGTCTGTGTCATCATGCTCCAATATCTTTCCAACTAATTTACGCAGGTCTTTACAGTAGGATACAGGATGCAGTTGATGAGTATGCCAGATAAGGTCGATATCGTAAGTTGGAACACAGAAGCGGTTTAAAGACTTCTCCTTGTTTCTTCTTATCAGATGCAGATACCCTTTGTACCTAGCCACAGCTCCTTTGAGAAAGCAGTCATTGCTCATATGGGGTCTTGATACCTGGCCAGAATAGAAAATAAAAAAAATAAAATAAAATAAAAACTCAAATTAAGTTAACAACTTCATAACTGTTAGCTCATTCTTGGACCGGTAACTATACAGTCCTTAAAAACATTAAAAAAAAAAAAACACGATTCCAATAAAGATTTTCAGAAAAAAGTTTTCCAGATGATGTTTCCTTCTACACCAATTTGACCAAACTTTAAATCATTAAAATAAGAGAACATGAAATAGTATCCACTTCCAAGTTTGAATTCAATAAGACACAATGAAATAGGAAACCATAAATATTCCAAAACATTGAAATGCAATGCTCATTGTATTAATTACCTGGTACGAGAAAGGGCTCTGTCTTTTAACAGCTGAAACCAAGTCATATTTGGTGCATTTTTCAAGTACACAAGTTTTTTCAGCAGCATCCTCCGACAACGCCCTGTTGAAGTCCAAGGTATAGGGCTCTTCAGGATAAAGACTTTTCCAAATTTCTTCGGTTTCCTTCTTACAAGTGTCCTCGAGAGAGGACACAACATTACTGTTGTCAAGGATCTTTCCATAAAGTTCCTCACAGTCAGACTTGTACCGGACCTGACAAACAAAACCAAAGAAGAAACATTAGCAATTTCAATTCCATTCGATGAAGACAATTCAAATCGAAAACCAAGAAACCTACAGGATTGAGCCTGTGACAGTGCCAAATCCATTCACAATCAAGAGGAACAACCAAAGGCCCTTCACAAACCGGCGTCTCGGTATGTTTAGCGAGCAAGGGAAGCCAACAAGCATTGTACCTACATAAACATTTAGTATTCTAATAACCCAGAACATGAAACATAGATAAAATCAACCCTTCTAAAATATAAGAAAAATACATCGGAAAAAAAAGACCTTCCATATAATAATTTCCTCAAATAAAAAATACAATACAAAGCTGTCATAAGCCATGAAATCAATTTAATATCGATAAAAACAAAGAATCGGAGAGCTCTGATGAGGTGTTTGATTTTTATAAGAGAAAAAACTAAAAATGTCATCATTAAAGTGACACTATTTTATTTATGTTATAAATTTATCCTATGCCACTTATCATCTACAAGTTATTTTTTTTATAACCTGGAGGAGGTTATTTTTTATAGTGACATTAAAATTCTGCGTAAGAATTTGAAAAAAAAAAAAAAAAAAAAAAACAATGGTTAAATTTGAAAATTTTTTCTTTTATTATAATCTTGTTTTTCATTATTAGTAGTCAAATTTTGTCGCGATTAAAAGTGCTCTCACAGTAAGAGTGAATAAATTTTCACGTTTCTATATCTCTTTTCTTTTATTTCACTATAATCCTAGTTCTAAAAATTACAACTAAACATTTAGTTCCATTGACAAAAAACAGAAACTTTCTTTTTCCTCATGCATCGTTGTCATCTTCAAACCAAGTGATGTACTTAACTAAGCCATGCTTCCTTTTCTTCGAAGAAATGAATCGAACGTTGTTCTATGAATCATTTACTCGAACAGTAAAACAACATAATCAAAACAAAAAGAGAAACGAAAATCATAATCTGATTCCGAAGAATATGACAACCTATAGATGGCTCTGTCGAGCACAGGTCCTTCATACAGATTGCGATTCCGATCAACAGCCGCGAGAAACTTCAGCTGGCGTTTGGCCGCAGCCACAAGGTCCACACTGACTCCGATTTTCTGCGCTTCGATCCATTCGAGCTTTTGTTGCATCTCCATTTCCGTCGATCCTAGCACAGTAATTACAGCGAAAAAAAAATCAGAATTCAAAACCGCGCTAAACTACATTGAATCGAAGCTGAGGAGAAAAGAAGAGGACAATTCTTGTTTGGATTGGAAGAAAATTCGGGATGAGAAAACTCGAAGAACGTACTCTTGTTCTGAGAAAGTTTTCAAGCTTCTTTTCTTTTGACTTAACTTCTCAACTCCCAGTCACTTATTTATCGAGTAGCACTTGTACGGACTACAAGATCAGTTTTCCTATTCCTTGTCTATAATAGACATTTTCTTTTGAAAAGAACGTTTTCCCACAACAAAGTGGGCCGGAATGTTTATTTTTTTTAATGAATAATATATTCTAAAATATGAAAATGCATTACAAATACCAATCCATATACATTATACACAAGGATTGTTCTTTTATATTTTTGAGTTAAGACCAATGGCCAATTCACTACTTCACTTACTTACTACTTACTTATCGGAAAAACAAGGAAAGTAGCACTAGAAAAGCAAATAGAGCGAGTACAAGACAGAACTAAATAGGTGTAGAGTTCGGAGTAGCGAAGAGGGAGGCTTTGATGACGAAGCGAAGGTACGAAGTGGATTTCTCATGGCCCTCCGAATCATTTTATACGAATAACAGAAACTCCGTTATAGCCATTTCTGTACATTCAATGTACTCTACGGATAGAGGAATACATAAAGTTGAACATAGTAAAATAAGAAATTGAAAGATTTCGTTGAAATTGTTCGTTTGGAAATTTCCCGAAAAGCTAATCATAGGTTCTTCTCTCCATCGGAACAATAGGGCCGTTATGCTCATTACTAAACTTGTTGAAGAGATGACTTGATTGATGATCTTAAATTAAGTTTGAGTTATAACTTGAGTTGAAGTTGTAACTTGAGTTTGTATTTAAATATGCACATTTGAGTTATAATTTGAATTGAGAATTTATTTGAGTTTGTGTTTGAGTGGGTCAAAACTTAAATTTATATTTAGATAATATTTTAATAAAAACTCAATAGTGATGAAAAATTGTAATAGGGTATATAGGTATAGTTTTATTCATTTTTTCGTTGTGAATGCATAGAAAAAAAATCATCTCAATCAGAATTAAAACGAAAAAGTTTTGACATTTTTAAGAATAGAAAAAATATTGTTCATTAACTTGAGTTCGAGTTTATGAACTTGAGTTGAAGAGAAAACTTGATCTCAAGTTTAGCTCCAAACTCGAGTTCAAATTCGAATTCAAACTCAAATTTTATAAAAGAACATGAACTTGAATAAAGTTGTAACTCGAGTTTAAACTTTTTCTGAGTTTCGTCGTAAAAGAACAACCCTATAGTTTTTATTATAGAAAATACTACACCACAGTTAACTGATTCCACTAATCAATTCAAATGAAGCTCAAAGAAAAATAGTGAATCTCTAAAAGAGGTACATAAAAAATTGAGCATATATATGGCTTTTCGACATATCCTTTAGAGTCGATAACAACAATCCGGTCAACCGATATCGATAAACTATAGTACAAAAGCTAGACAAAAATGGCAAAGAACATATCTTGCGGATAAAAGGATAATAACTTAAACTAATCGGGATAAGAACCATTATTATTACAAACGAAAAACGAAAAAATCTACAAGTTAGAACATCAAAACACTAAAGAGAGCAAGTCTCTCAACACCAGCGAAATAAAACGGTAGAAAAGACGAGTATTTGGTAAACACATGAAGTGATAATTGGAGTTTACACTACAAGACGACTCGACTTTTCTCGTGGATTATAACCATCACAGAGTAGACCGAGACGATAACCAACACGTTAAAAATAAAAAGTAAAAAGTAAAAAAAAAAATATGGCTTTCTACTTCTCTTGGTTGTCAATAATTCAAGGGTAGTAAAGAGCCGTTTAGTTTGTTGATTCGAGTTTTTAATTTGAGTTAAGATGTGATTTTATATGAAAATTTTTTACTATAATAAAAAAATAAGATGTAATTATTTTTAAGAATTTTTTATTATAATAAAAATTGAATTCTAAACTCAAATCAATATAATAAACGAGACTTAAATAACTTTTTTAATGTGTGGTCCTCTTTTTCACGCCTGCATGCCGCCTTTGTTTAGTCGTTTACTTTTGTGCTAATCAAAAAATAAAAATAAAAAAAAACAAAAAAAAACAAAAGAATATGTAGTACCAAAGAGTAAGCACAAAAGGACAACCGTTACAAGCATCAAAAGGCTTTGCTGTACAATCATCTTAAAATTTAAGATATGTTTTTCGTTAATTTAAATTTTTAATTTAAATTAAACTGTGACGTTATATGAAAATTTTTTATTATAATAAAAAAATTAAATGTGCTTATTTTTGAAAAAATTTTATTATAATAAAATTTAAATTTTAAACTAAAATTTACGAAATAAATAGAGCCCTAAAATAATATTAGGATTTCATGTCTCTCAATCGTTCTATCCTGACGGTCAAAATCATCTTAAAGGTAACCTACTGAAAAAACACCAGTGTCAAGTGTTACACCGATTCTATCGTGTACCATTATGAATTAAAAAACACATGCGTACACTTTTATTTTACTTTTTACATATATATTTTTAAATCTCTCCTCATTTTATTTGTTAAATTTCTTTTAAAAATTTTAAAAAATCTCTATAATCAAATTGTTTTTTCATTTTTACATTTTTTTACACGTATCTTTAAACTACTCACATTCTATTCATCACACCCCTTTTAAAATTTTTAAAATCTTTATTTATAATTAGATTGTATTACTTTTCCCTTTCTTATCCACCAGCCAATCAAACTGTCCTTTTTTTTTTATGATTTTCCTTTTTCAAACTTATCATTTCTTATCCTCTCATCTCTCTTTCTTTTTTCCCAACATTGCCAAAAATTCTCCATTTTTAACTCAAAAAGAAGAAAACATCTATAACATAGTTATTAAGGTTGCATTTAGTATGAGAATTCTAGAACCAGAATCGTAATTCTGGTTTAAACTTTTATTTGCTTGTAAAAAGTAAAAAATAGTTCTTGAAAATTAGTGTTTAGATGTGATGTTTTAAGCCATAACCTCTCAAAAAAATAAAATCACCTCCCCCATTGATTTTGGATGGTTTTGGTTCTGATTCTGATTCTAGAACTATGATTTGGACCTCAAGTTCAAATCATAAATCATAGTTCTAGTTTTAAAACTAAAACTATTCTGACTTGAACTCTCATACCAAATGTAACCTAAGTATGTGGAAAGGAATGATACAGCCATGAAAGAACCTCATGTATGCGTTTTTCCATTCCTAGATTTTCGCTTGCAACGTGGTTTTTACTTATGGTTGTAGTAGTTCTTTTGGTTAATCTCACAGATATTGGTACTGAGGTTTCCTTTTAATCTCATTTTGGTATTTGATTCTTAAAACGTCTCACAGTTAATTTCTAAAATTTTATTTTGTTTTAGTTTTGGTCTTTTCATTGAGTAGGTGTCATATATTTAACAGAATATGTCTAAATTAGAAACCAAAATTAAAAACAACTAAAATTTAAAGACTATTTGTAGAAATTCACTTTTATTTTTGTATTGTTTTAGTCCTTAAACTTTAGGTATTTCTAATTTTGATACCTAATTTTCACATATTCTATTAAATACTTAACATCTAGTTAACAAAAAGACCGAAATTAAAATAAAATAAAATCTAAAAGGTCAATTGTATGACGTTTTAAAAGTCAGGACCACAGTAAGATATAGAGAGTAAATTTTAAGAACTATTAGTGAGATTAATCCTACTTATTTTTCCAATAATGATTTCTCAGCTAATTAATATATCATCTTTCTGTTACAAGTTTTTCTTCATGAGTTAGTACCTCTTTTTTCGTTTCTGAGTTGCGTTTTCTCGATTTACTCGAGAAGAAGAAGAAGAAGAAGTAGTGAAGAGAACTATGCTTTGTGTATTTCTTGGACTTGTTTAAAACAATAATCAACAACGCAAGTTTTAAAAAATCCTCTCAATCATCGCTTAAAAATTTTTCCTATGCCGAAACTTTTTGTCTGAAAATTCTATTAAAAAATGAATGAAACGTAGAATTTTTAAAGAAAAATCTAACTGCATACCCTTTTAAGGATGAGTAATATTATTGTTCTTAGAAGTAATTTTATTAATATATAGATAATTTAATAATAAAAAAAGTGTGTAAAAGGTAGAACTGAAGTGTCAATAGACTCATCATTTAAAAAAATATATATGAGTATATTAATAAATAACATCAGTGATTAAGGAAAAAAAAAAAAAACATCAACGTAAGTGGTTAAAACTGCATTCTAACTTATTTTAGATATATTAAAAAAAAAACATTTCTACTTCTGTTGGATGTCAATTCAAGGGTAGTAAAGACAATTAGGGTTTGTTATTTTGAGTGAAAAACTAAAAAAAATATAACTCGAATTATAACTTTATTCGAGTTTATGTTCTTTTAAGTTTAAACTCGAGTTAGCTTGAGTTCAAGTTTTCCCTTCAACTCGAGTTCAGAAACTCGAACTCAAATTAATGAACAATATTTTTTCTATTCTTAAAAATGCTATAACTTTTTCATTTTAATTTTGATTAAGATGATTTTTTTTTTCTATGCGTTAACAATGAAAATACGAATAAAATCTGACCCATATACCATATTAAAATTTTTCATAAGTATTGAGTTTTTATTAAAATATTATCTAAATATAAATTCAAGTTTTGACTAACTCAAACACAAACTCAAAAAGATTCTTATCTCAAACCATAACTCAAATGTACACAACTAAACACAAACTTAAGTTACAAGTTCAACTCAAGTTATAACTCAAATTCAACTCAAGAATTATACTCAAGTTAAACTCTAAAAGAACAAGCCCTTAGATTTTTTAGCAACACAACAAATAACGACTCATGATCCTTCATATGTGGTTCTCTTTTTCTTCACGTTCTGCATGCCATAACTTTGCAGATGAACAAACCTTTTCTTTTTCTTTCCCTTTTTCAGCCATGAATGTGCATTAGTATGCCAATCAAAACATACTAACAACTAAATATATCCAGTTGAGTGTATATATATATATATATATTATATAAAAGCTAAATTTGTTACACAAAGCACATAAATTGTCTCTTCTTCTCCCAGGAAAGGAGGAAGGAAATACACCTTGAAACATATTTGCTTATGAAACAAGATAAGGACAAAAAGGTGTTTTG